TAGCTCGGGTCATGATCTTGGGGTCCTGGGATCAAGTCCCGCATCGGGCTCTCTGCTCACCCTCTCCCTCTGCCTACCACTCCCACTGCTTGTGCTCTCTCTCTCTTTCTGTCAAATAAATAAATAAAGTCTTTAAAAAAATCTTTTTAAAATATTTATTCATTTTAGAGAAAGAGCACACCTGTGCACATGAGCCACGGGGAGGGGTGCACGTGGAACAGAAGAGAGAGAGAGAGAATCCCAAGCAGACCCACCCCTCCACGTCCCCCGTGCTGAGCTTGGAGTCCTTCATGGGGTTGGATCCCAGGACGCTGAGACCATGTCCCGAGCCAAAATCAAGAGCTGGTTGAGTAACTGACTGAGCCACCCAGGTGCTCCTGGAATAGGAAGAGGTTTTGATATAAACATTATATAGTCATGAGTCTGTGAGATATACCCACATTGTTGTGTGTATCAAAAGTTTATTCTTTTTTATTGTACATCACAAGTTATCTAGTCTGTTGATGAACATTTGGATTTTTCCAGTTTGGAGCTATTATGAATAAAGCTGCTATGAAATTCTTTTTTTTTCTTTTTTTGAGGATATAAGTATTTGTTTCTGATGAGTATATATCCAAGAATAGAGCTACCAACTCACAGGTTATATATATGTTTAGCTTTAGTAGGTCCTATCAACCAGCTTTCCAAAGTGGTCATACCAATTTATACTCCCACAAACAAGGAAAGGGGTCCAGTTCTCCACACCTTGCCCACACTTCAAATTGTCAGTCTTTTAAATTTTAGGTATTCCCGTGGATAAGCTGTGGTATCGCAGCATGGTTCTCATTTGCATTTCTTTGATGACTAATGATACTGAGCATTATATGTTTATTGAGCATATGAATGTCTGCATTTGTGAAGTGTCTGTTCAAAGTCTTGTATTTAAAAAATAATTTTTAATGAGATGCACATAACATAAAACTCAGCATTTTATTTATTTATTTTAGAGAGAGAGATAGAGAGCACACAGTGGGGAAGGTCAGAAGGAGAGGGACAGAGAGAGTCTCAAGCAGACTCCCCACTGAGCACGGAGGCTGATGTGGGGCTCGATCCCATGACCCTGACATCATGACCTGAGCTAAAATCAAGAGTCAGATGCTTAACTGACTAAGCCACCCAGGTGCCCCAAAACTCAGCATTTTAAAGCATACATGTCAGTGGTGTTTAGGGTATACACAATGATGTGCATTATCTAATTCTACAGCATTTCCATCACCCCAGACAAGAAACCCCATACACATTAAGCAATCACTCTCCATTCTCCCCTCCTCTTGCTTACTGGCAAACCTCTAATCTACTGTCCGTCTGTATGGATTTGTATATAAATGGAGTCACAATTACTGGCCTTTTGTGTCTAGCTTATTTCACTTAGCTTAATGTGTTCAAGGCTCATCCATGTTGTAGCATGGATCAGAATTTCATTTTTATCGCCAAATAACATTCTATATGGATATACCGCATTTTGTTTATCCATTTATCAGTTGATGGATTTGAGTTGTTTCCACTTTGGGCTTAAATGCTGCTACAAACATTCATGTATTAATTTTCATGTGAGCATGTATTTTCAGTTATCATGGGCATATATACCTAGGAGTGGATTTTCTGGGTCATACGGTGACAACTCTCTTCAACTTTTTAAGGAACTGCCAAACAGTTTCCACAGCAGCTGCACCATTTTACGTTCCCAGCAGCAAAGCATGTGGGGTTGTTTTGCCCATTTTCAATTGGGTCAATGGAGCATTATTCTAAAAGTAAAAACTGGAGATACCCTATATATCAATAATAAGAGGTTGGTTTAATAAAATCATGATACTGCATGGTATAGAGTGATACTAAAACTATTACCAAAAAACAGATCTGTAAGTACTAACAGATTCAAATTAGGTGAAATAAAGCAAATAGCTAACAGCCTTATTTGTGTAACTCACAAGCATCTATGGTGTCAGAAAAGTCTGGAAGAATATGCATCAAATCTAAATATGAGGAGAGAATGCAGAGCAAGTAGCGGGGACTTACACTTTTGACTTTTTATCTTTGGTCTGTACTTTTAAAAATAAATATGGAGTGGTGGGTTTTTTGGTAATTTTTAATTTATATATTTAGGTGAAACACTGCAAAGAAATTCTGTGCTTGGCTTGGGGTAGGGGAAGGTCTGAGAAATTCTATGGACTACTCAGAAAACTTCATGTCGAGGCTTGTTAAAATGGGACATTTTTATCTTGTCAAAATGCTCACTGAAGCATTTGTCCTAGCTATTAAAAGTTCCCTGATCATAAAAAGGATTCTTGACAATAAGGATATTAGAATGCACTACAATTAAATTTGGCCATGTTATAAATGCTTAATGAAAAACATCAGTATATAAAAAAATATAAAATCTACTCTTGCATATGCCAAAATGTGGACCAGGAGTCTCTCTAGGCAGTGGGGTTATAGGTGATTATTTTCTTCCTTATGCCTTTTTGATTTTTCCAGACTCTAAAATGCCCATGTATAATATTTCTAGTTTTAAATACTGTAATATTTCAGTTTAGTTTGTAGCTTGCCCATGCTTAACCAATGAGATCTAAAATACTAGCCATGTGAAGAAATTTAAGGTTGTTATGTCTCAAAACTTGTGGTCTCCATTAGAAAATGATGTTTTCTAAGAATGTGCAATGGCACGTGTAGACAAAAACACTAGTAAGCAAAAAACTAAAGTTCAAAATTATATATTGCATACAATTCTGATTTTTTAGGAAAAGTATAAACATATGCTTATGAAAACACTAGAAGAAAACATAAAATGTTAACAGCAATCACTGTTATTATAGGGCATGTAGGTGATTAATTTTCCTTCTCCATGTCCTTCTGTTTCCAGTTATAATAAACATGTACAGCCTTATCATTTGAAAAAGTTTAAAATTCAGTCTGGGAAGAACAGTGTCTCTCTCCAGATTTGGAATATTGGCCTTTGGAATATTCCCTTTTCCTTGCTCTCCCGCAACTCCTGGCCATCCTGGTATCTCCACTCGGCCCCCGCGGTTCCTTTCACCTTCCATTCCCCCGGCTGCCCCTCTGTCCAGAGCTCGTTTCCTCTTCCCCAGAACATGATAACAATCTCTTACCCTAGCTGATTTTCCTGCTGTACATTCTCTCTCTGACCTACTTCTAGAAGTGCAAATGCTGGAGTAATCCCCTTGAATGACGTTGCTCCCTTGCTGAAAAACCCATGGCTCACCTTCCTAATGCTATTACTTGGAGCCCTCGGCATGACCTTGTGACTGGCAGGCATGCGCAGTGGGGGACAACATTACTGGGTCCTCGCCAAAGGCTAGGCTCCAGGGTACAGGCCCTTTTGCTTTGTTTAACTCATGTTTTATGAAAAGGCAGAGAAGCCTGATTGTGCTAGCTTCACCAGAAGGGTTGTGGAGTCCCACTACATACAGATTCGGGCTCCACTGCTGACCTTGAACTTATTTAATCCTGAGGTATCTCCTCAGCTGTAACACCGATATCTGCTTCCTTTCTGGGATGGCTGTGAGCAGTCAGGGCCAAGCACTCCGTGGTGGTCAGTAGCTGGTTCCCTTCTGATCTCTCATCTTTAAGGGACTGTCCTCTACTTCTCTGTCACTTAGAGATCTCAAGAACTACTATCAACTGCCCCTTTGTTGTAAGAGTTCAACCCAATTCATTCTCCCCATTAGTTCCCTGGTCCCATGGTGACCTCTGCATGGTAGACATTCCCCCTTTGAGGTGCCCCCCTGCCACCAGCCCTACAAATACATTCCTCTCAAATTTGGCTCTGTTGAAATGTTCAGACCAGTGCCCCCAAATCTCTTCATACTCAGGGGGTCATTTCTTTGAACCTTGATGTGGCCCACTCGGCTGTGATGGCTGCCCCCTGCCCCCCTTAACCTCCTTGTCCTCATCTCCAACAGTGACACCACAATGCCTAGCCTCCCAAACAGAAACCCAGGCGGCCTTACAGACCTCTCTCCCTCCTTGTCGCCGCATGTCACCAAGTCTAGCTCCTTCTTCGTGAGCATGGTCCAAATCCATCCTACACCATTGCTTTATGTGAGGCCTTCATCGCATTCTGCCTGAAATGTGGCCATAGGCTCGCTTCTGCTTTTTCCACATCTCCAGCCTCATCCCCCACCCCCTCCTTCCCACTGCTGCTGCTGTCTGTGGAGCACTCACTGCATTCCAGCCTTGAGCCAGGCTTTATGCACTGTCTTTCATAATTCCCCTGATGACCCTGTGACAGTAGATGTTAAGATCCCCATTTGATTGATTAGCAAAGATTCAGAGAAGCTCAAGTAACCTGCTTAAGTAGTGGGGCCAGGATCTGGTCAGCCAGAGCCAGCACCCTTAGCCACCAGATGGTTTTGCTTGTCTAAGTTTGCCCTCCCTTCAGTGGCCTGGGCCTCTCTGTTGACTTCTGGATGGACAGACAGGGACCCTGGGTCTGTGGCTGTCAAATGTTTAAGAAATGGGATGTGTCCCTTGCAGAGAACCAATACTACGTTTACTCAGCCTTACGGTATTGGTTGAGATCAGGCTCTACCATTTTCCGACTCTTGTCTTTACTCCAAAAGTTTACCCTTAGGGGGGAATTTTTTTTTTTTAAGTTTTAAATTATAGCATCCATTACAAAGATGCTTTCCACCGTGGAGCCCCACAGGATTAATACTGTGCTGCAAAGATCAATTGTGTCCATGTCTGTCAGCTGCCAAAACAGCCAGTTAAATGGTAACCCCAGAAAACCTATTGTCTGATGCTTTCTTACTGATTAAATAAACGAGCTGGTGTTGACCCAGCGTGTTGTAATAAATCAAAGGTTATAAATTAACTGTGTATACTTTATCCCACATGTAGAAGTCTGAGCAACTATTATGATCAAAGGAAGATGAAGTTTTAAAAAGCTATTTCTGTTGGCTTTTCTCATGCACAAACTTCCCTTTCTCTCTCTTTTTCAGCTTCATTTTGGATAAAAAATGTGTGATCAGACCTTTCTCGTTAATGTATTTGGCTCCTGTGACAAATGTTTCAAACAACGGGCTCTGAGACCGGTTTTCAAGAAATCTCAACAGCTCAGCTACTGTTCAATGTGTGCAGAAATTGTAAGTGCCACTTTAAAAAAATTAAAGTGGTTATCTTGTTTTAAAATGATGTCTAATGTCAGGGACCTGTGACAGATGAGTTACCATAGAATCACTTTACACACACAGATATTTTCAGCACACTTGGACTGAGTGAGGCAGTATGCATGGGGGTTTATGGTGTGGACTCTCTGACCTCCTGGGTTCAAATCCTAGTTATGTTCCTTGGTGGTGGTGCCAACAGATCTCAATCGACTTAGGAGGTCAGTTTTCCCATATGTAAAATGGGAATAATAGCATCTATCTCATAGGGTTTTGTGAGAATTCAATGAGTTCATTTGATAAAGCATTTAAAACAGTACCCAGCGCAGGCCGTGCTCAATGAATGTTTTAACTATTACTACTTTTTTAGGGCTAATGTTTTTTTCTTCTGCTTTCTGTCTGCTTGGCAAGCAACCCAGCTGAAAGGGACTCTGGCAAACAAACAGCCTGGAAGTGCCTCTCCCAAGGCCGTGGTCTGGCTTTCCCTAGGAACAGCTCTATTGAAGACTGGACCCTACAGGGCCTCAGTAGTAAGCAAAATTAAGTTCAAGGAAACGTGCTCCTTAGGCCTAAGATTTCAGTGAGGGCTAGAGACTGAGTATAAATCCTTACATTTTTCAAAGAACACAGATCAGTCCTCAGTAGAGGTGGCTATGCACAGGTCTTTTCAGATCTTTGTAGCAAAATGCCCATAGCATGGCGGAAGCCCTGAGAGGATTTGCAAAGCCATGCTCAGTAATACGGCTCAGCAGAGCCCCCACCTGTTCAAAAGTGGTAAAGTACTCTTTTCCAAAATCCCAATTGGAAACCCCCGATTATCAACACATTTAAAACCATCTACCAAAGAGAGGAAAGGTGGTTTTTACATTTTACCCCACTAAAGAGGAAAAGGCAGTATTCAGCCTCTTGGTTCCACTGTAACCCCTGACAGTAATTACATTTAAAAAATTATTCTCGTAAAGCAAATGGCAAGTAAACAGCCCAGAGAGACACATAGGCTTTGGGACAGCGCAATAATCCTGATGTCACAAGATTCAAGCTTAGTGTAATTGGCTTCTACCTGCAGCGCACTGTGTTCTAAACATGGCTCTGCACATCATCAAACTGATGACATTCAGTTCTTAAAATAAGCCTGCTTTCCGGTGGCCCTACCGTCCTGCAGCAGTGCTATTTATTAATCTTAGCTCTTCTATTTTTTAAACAACTTCTTCTGTGGATACTGGGAGCCCAGGGTCCCTGTGGTCACATCCTGTAGCATCATAGATTCTCCCCCAGGGCAGAGGCTCTGCCTGGAGAGTTTTTTCAGGAAACTGTCACAGGCCATCTCCACAAGCACTTGGGGGTTCCCAAATATTCAGACACCCTCCTGTGGCTGAGGAGACATCCAAATGACTGGGTGTTTGTGATTATGTAAGCCCCCCCCCCACCGCCCCCGTGGACCCTTTTCATGAACAGGGGCAACGCTGTGACTTCACCCCTGCCGAAATGTAGCAGACCTCAACTTTTCTGATCTCCGGCTTCCTTACTTAGAAAAAGGAGTTAAAACCAAAGTACAGAAAGGCACTTTGGAAACTTTCCCATCTGTTAAGAAGTCACATGGCCTTATCTCTAGATGGTAGAGCCTCTAGAATGGAGGATGTTTGGGATTTGTTTACAGAGAGAACCTCCAGAGAAGGGCACACCCCAGGGTGAAGCTCCACTCACCCCAGATCACACACAGGCAGACCTCGAGCAGGCACACATCTCGTGATGGGCCACAAGGCATCACTGAGGAAGTGATGAGAGGATGCTGTTTGGCTAGGCCTTCTGAGGTGACCCTGGTGAGAAGTGTCTCCCATGACCTAGTGTCTCATTTAAATTACTTCACGTGAATCGCTCGAGTGTATCAGGGAGCCTTAATGAGCAAATAGTTTGTGTCACGCTCAGCTCTGAATGCTCTGCGTGGTCAGCCCTGGTGAGGCCTTTCTGAGGAGGCATTATCCATTTACAGATAAAGAGCCCGAGACACAGAGAAATTAAGTAAGTTACCAGAGGCCACACAACACAGCCAAGATTTATCCTCAGGCAGTATGACGTAGATGGAACCTGTGCTCTTAAACTTTTGCTCTACGAACTTTGAAGCAGATGTCATATTTTTCACTTTCATAAATAGTTGCCTGAATCTAAAGCATTTATATTTATATATTGATATTTTATATATTTATTTTAATTATATATTTTATATATTCTGTTTTATACATTCACTTAATAAACTAACATTAACTGAATACCTACCATATACCAGTTATTATGCTAAATTCTGAGGATAAATGATGAATAAACCTATATTGATGGAAAGGGAAAGGGGAGCTAGCTGGTAGTTAATACGCATCTGCTGTGATGGAGAAGTCTGCTAAGAGGTTCGCTCACAGTATCTTACTTAATTCTTGTAACACAGCCCTATGAAGTAGATTTTCCAGATAAGGAAACTGAGGAGCTCAGAACCTAACCTCCTAGACTACCATGTCTAGATGAATACAGATTACTTCCAACTTTTCTTTGATAAAGAGCTGCCCAGGACAGCAAGTAGAGGCTGGATTCCTCAGGGAGTGGGGGGGTGAGAGCAGCCCCCAAAATCCTGCTTGGGAATGTTTGCTCTGAAATTTGTCACCTTAACCCGCCTTCCCATTTTGCACACACGCACATACACGCCAGGTCATGGATGGGGGGAAAGGGAGAAGCCACGTGTTGGGTCCTCCACACTGAAGTCCAGAGGCATGTAGCCAAATGAAGCCACACTGCCTAGGTCCAAATCCTGCCTTTGCCTCTTTCTGGGAGTGTGACTCAAGCAAATCATTTAACCTGGGCCTCGGTGTCCTCGTTTGTAAAATGGGGATAACGGTATCCATTCAGGGTGACTGTTGGGATTTAGTAATGTGAAGTGCTTGGAACAGTGCCTGGCACTGCAGGGGACCCGGAGAAAAGAGATGCTTAAGCCTGCCATGAAGTTACTAAATTTGCGTCCTTGATGATCCCTAGCAACCTTTCATTCTAAGGTGGAGGAAGCTGCCTCAGAAGTGACACATCTGGGATCACTGCGTGTGGGCTCAAACACCCCGGGGTACTAATTCCAACTCTGTCAGCACCTCCTTTGCTAACCCCAGGCCAGGGACTTAACCCGCTGTGTGCAGAGAAGGTGCGCTTCCTAATGCCGCGAAGCCTTGACAGCTTCCCAGAAGCCAGATTTCGTTTTATTTTTGTATATTTAAGTATATTTAAGTTCGTTGTGGGGGGAGCACCAGAGCTACCCAGGACCAGGCCGGTATCAGTGGTGCCGGCTGGGCCTCGTTGCCCACTCCTCGCTCATCTACTCGGCCGGTAGCCGCCACTGGGCAGCCTATCAAGTCCCACAGAGGGGCGATCGGTGCCGGGGAAAGGGCGGGGGTAGTAAGGGCGTGTCAGTGGGGCTTCACCGACTCCCAGAAGCCGGGCAGTCCTGGGTTGGAATCCCAATTTGGTGCTTCACTACGTGCGCGTCCTCCGGCAAGTCAAGTTACCATCTGAGCCTCGGTTTTCCCACCGGTAAAATGGGCAGGACACTCCCTGCTTCTCCGGGGTGGGGTGCGCAGCAGCGCCACCGAGGGCATCGCCCTGGGCACAGCGGCAGGCGCGCGCGGCAGGTGCCGGGGCGGAGGGGGCGCGGGTGTCCGCGGGCGCGGCGGGCGGAGAGGGGGGAGTGGGCCCGGCTCGCAGCTGCCCGCGTCAGCGCCAGAGGGCGGGGCCGCGCTCGGGGAGAAGGCGGCTGGAGCTGCGCCGCGGGCCGCTCCCGCCCGCTCGCCGGCCAGGCCTCCGTCACCCGCTCACCCGCATCCCCGCTCTCCGCTTCCCTCTCCGCCGCGTCCCGGCGCGAAGATGGCAACCGACGGGCTGCACGAGAACCAGACGCTAGCGTCGCTGAAGAGCGAGGCCGAGAGCCTCAAGGGCAAACTGGAGGAAGAGCGGGCCAAGCTGCACGACGTGGAGCGTGAGTGCGGGCCGGGGCGGGGGCTGCGCGCCGGGAGGCGGGCCGAGGAAACCAGACCGGCCCCCGAGGGAGCGCGGTTGGGGGGCGGGAGCCAGGCCTGCGCCCGCGCGGAGAATGAGCCCCCGGTTCCCGGGCGCCAGGTGAGGCGTGGGTTGCGGCCCCGAGCCCCGGCTTGCGCGGCTGTGGCGCCCGAGCCTGGCGGCCCTCGGAGGCGCCGGACACCTTGCAGAGCCCCAGCCCCCTAGCTGAGGCCGTTCCGCCTCTGGGCGGGGGTGCCTGTGGTAGCCGCCCCTAGCCTCTGTTCTTCCCCCCCCCACCCCCACTTCACCTCCCAAGGATCTTGGGACAGTTCCCTCCATCACCTGCTTGGAAGATGCGAACTGATCGCGTTTCTGCCCGAGCCGGGTGGAGGGGGGTGTCGGCGGTAGCCGGCGCAGCGAGCCCTTGTGGGCGCGGCCTAGGGTAAACTGTTTTGTTTTTACATCATTTAGCTTTCTCCATCACTGTTGTGTCTTTTCTCAGTTTTGCTTTTACAAGGAAGCAGATTCTGAGTTAAAACCTCATTTTTCCAGTCTGCCCCCTGTCCTTGGGGTGGAGAACCGGATGGGGGGAAAACAGAGGAGCTTACCAAGTCCAATCATTTCGTTCATTTAAGGCCGTTTAAGAAGCCTTTGAATGGATGCGGTGCGATTGGCGTAAAAGAGCAATAGCAATCTTAAATAAACTTACTTATTGACCACTACCATAATTCAGAAACGGCTCCGTGATTTTTATGAGGGAGCAATTAAATAGCCAGTTTAAATGACTCTAGGTGGGATCCGCTTCCCTTTACCCTTCAGATGGTTTGTCTTCAGCAGAGTTTGGGCTCGGGGCCAGGCTTGGGGAAATGGCTTTATCTGCTTATTTTTCAGCTCTGAGGGTGGCAGCTCCCCTTTGCTGAGCACAGCCTCCCTCATGGTACCCTCAGGCACCCCTATACCATTCCTATCTGGTGCCACCCCTTTTAAAATCTATTTGGAGACAAAACATGGGGTTCATGCTAGGTCGTTTAGCACCTGATGCCTTTCTTTGAAAATCACTTGATAGAAGCAGATGACCTGAATCTAGAGTGCGCTGTGCTTTCCTAGGGGCCTCCGGAGACACACTAAACCCCTATATCATTTAGGGATGTGTCCAGCTACAATTAACTATAAACCCCAAATAAAGTAGCTAAGCAAATTGGGAGTGATTTTCCTTATATAACAGGAAGAATGTCGGTGATCGCCAGCTTTGGCTCAGCTGCCCAGTGTGCCATTAGGGACCCAGGCTCCACTGGCATTAGCCCCATGATTATAATACGACCACCACAGCTCCAAACATAACCTCTGTATCCAGGGCAAGAAGAAGGGGGAATGTGGGCACCAGCTTCTGGTTCTCCTTCCTATCAGGAAAGCAGAAGTTTTCCCCAAAGCCTCCTTTCTCCCAACAGATTTTGTACTTTATTGGCCAGAAGTAGGTCACATAGCTACTGCAAGGGAGGCTGGGAAAGGGAGAAGTGAGCTGGACACATTATCATCCCCAAATAAAGTTGGGTTTCTGTTATCAGCAAGTGGTAGGGAACAGAAATTGGGAGGCACCAGACAAAAAATTCTGTCTCATTTCACTCTGCAAATTCCTACATTGTGCAGATGCTATGGATGATGCTGTAAGTGTGGTGTGGGTGCCTCTGAGGTAGGTCGTCTGACTTCTGCATGTTACAGATGAGGAAACTGAGGCACCTCGGGGTGAAAAGACTTGCCAGAGGGCTGCAGCCAGTGAGTGGTGGGACCAGGATTCCAGCCCAGGCAGTCAGAGCTCCAGCCCAGCCTCACTTCAACTCTGTGCCCAACCCCTTTGGGCTCTGTGCAGAGGAGGTTCTCCAGAAACTCTCTTCATCAGCAGAGCAGACTGCCCGCTGGGAAACTCTCAGCCTTTTCTGTGACTTGGGAAATGGCCTTAAGGCAGAGAGATAGTCAAGGTAGAGCTTTTCACCGGGGAGCCCCCGTCCTGCCAAGGATGCAGTATCCTCAGAAGCCAGGGACCCACAGTGTAAAGATCTATCCCCACCTGCATAGAAGTCAGAATTTTGGAGGTGAAGAGACCGGAAGTCATATGGCCGTGTTCCCCTTTATTTCCCCTGCAGCTGTATTCCCCCCAGCACTTTTCCTTTACACCCGTATAATGCCTTTGCTCCTTTGAGGCTCCTGTTGTTCAAGTGACATCCTGTTTTCCCCTCCTCCGTGCTGCTGGCTCCTGACCTCCCCAGCGAGGCTGCCTCATTTCTTACGGACTTTGGCACCTAACGTGAGCCTTCCTTTTGACCTAAGCCCTGCCCCGTCCCTGGTGTCTTCAGGGTTCACAAGTGTGACCCTCTTAACACGCTGGCCTCTCACTCCATCACAGCCTCCTGGATCTCGTTAGCTCTCAGCGCTGCTCTTCCTCTTCTGACCACACCCTCTCCTCCAGAGATCTCCATGATCCATGATCACTGGACTCTTCTACCAGTCTCTCAGCCTCTTACTGAGCCTGGCATTTTTGCATTTTGGTGTTATATAGATGGTCCTGTAACCCCCTACCCTAGCTAGGGAACATTTTCAGGCCGCAAGCTAAGATGGCCAAGGCATCCCGGTTTGCCTGGGACTCTCAGTTTTAAAATGGAAAGTGCTGCATTCTGGAAAACCCGTTAGTCCTGGGCAAACTGGGTTGATCAGCCTTCTATTAGCTCTGACTTGCCTAAATTCTTGCCTAAAAACACAACAAAATAGCCTGAACTTGGAGGAAAAGCACTTTACCCAACTCCGGACCCTCACGTCTCCAGCTCCCATCCCTTTGACCCTCAGACCAACGTCCATACCGTTGGGCCCTCATCCCCAAGTCAGACACTTGACCAACATTAAATAGAGGAAGTGGCTTCTATGGGTGGCCCAAGGGGAAGGCAGCCTACATCAAACTCCATAGCCTCAGTCCCCATACCCCTGCCTTTCCCCTTACTCCTCCAGAGCTTCCTCCTCCCTAGATGTTTCCCCTTACTGCCTTCTGCTTACCTTCTACCATAGGTAAGTGTTCCCTTGCTTGATTGTAGGACATTTTAGAATCATGAGGTTATAGCTTGTATTAGTTTCCTATTGCTGTTGTACAAATTTCCATAAACATAGGAGCTTAAAGCAACATAAATTTATTCTTTTACAGTTCTGGACGTCAGAAGTCTATAGTGGGTCAGCAGGGCTTCATTCCTTCTGGAAGCTTTAGGGGAAAGTCCCTTCCTTGCCTTTTCCAGCTTCTAGAAGCTGCCTGCAATCCTCGGCTTGTGGCCCCACATCGTCTGACCTGTCTGTCATCACCTCACCTTCTTTGACTCTGATCTCCCTGCCTCCCTCTTATAAGGACCCTTGTGATTACAGTGGACCCACCTGTATAAAGCAGGGTAATCATCCCAGCTCAAGATCCTTAACGTAATCACATCTGCAAAGCCCCTTTTGCCATGTAAGGTAACATATTCACAGGTTCCAAGGATTAGGACGTGGACATCTTCGGAGGTCCTATCACAGACTCTCAAAACTAGAATGGTCACCTGCTTCAGCCTCAGTCCTCAGGCACAAAAGGTTTCCTTCTGCTCCCCATAACCCTTATGGATGAGGAGACTGTTGAGATCCAGGGAAGGGGAGAGGGAATGCCCTAAGGTTCTGCAGCTACTCTAAGGGAGAATGGGGAGTAGACGCCAGGGTTCAGGCTCCTAGTATTAGCTCTCCTTCTCACCCTGCTAGGCCATCTCTCAGGCGGTTGAGATTTCCATTAAGAAGAAAAAAAAAAAATCCATGTGTGTGTATGAAAAGGTCTCAACATTAAATTTAAAAAGTCCCAAGCAGTATATATAACATGATCTCATTAGCGTGAACAAGCTTGAACAAATATGCATTTAGTTTGTGACAGGATACGGGAGAAACTTGTTATCTCTAGAGAGGGCCCAGGGGAGTGAGGGGAGGCGGAGGTACTTTTCGATTTATACCCACCTGTGCATCTCCTGCTTTTATAATAAAAAATGAGTACTGGAATGGGAGTCAAGACCAAGAACAAAGAAGAGAATTCAACTTTAAAGAGTCCTTAACTTGAAATTAAACTGAAGAATGCTGAAGAATGATCCAGAAAACAGGCTGAAAGCAGGTCAGGAGGCACACTGTGTTTATTTCAGCCAACACGTATGGCAGCCTCGTGGGGCTATGGGGGGCTTCTTCCAGATTCCCAGCCTCTTTGGGGGCAGATTCTAATCTAGTATAGGAACAAAGCCACTCAAAGAAGATTTATGTAATTTCTCTACGTACAAATCCAGCTGAAATTCAGGCAAGTTCGCAGGACCTATCATCAGATGGTATTCACTTTTCTATCTGTTCTAAATGTAACTTTGTGAAAGGTTTTATTCTCAAAGGCTGTATTATGCCTGGAGCCTTGGACTATTCTGATTTTATGGTGTATGGAGAAATCGAGGAAAACCGAATTTCTGGGTTAGTCTGAAGCCAATATGTTGACTGACTTTTTCTGCATTCTAAGGAAATAGGCCGCATGGCCTGAGGCTAGACATGTTTCCCTACAAACTAATCCTCTCCCTGCTGCTGTCCCACATGCTGCCTGCAGCCATGAGAGGGAACGGAGAGCAAACCTGCCTTTCATCTCCTCTCCCCTTGCTTTGGCTCTGCATTCATAATTGCATACAATCTAGCTCACACAAGTGAATCTAGGATACCATCATAATAAACTAAGGCCCACTATAACAAATTTAGAAATCTAGACAAAAACAAGCCATTCATAACCCCACCACCCAGGGGTAGCCAATTTTAATATTTTGATATATTTCATAGTTTATGATTTTATGTTTGTGCATATTATTTGTGAGCGTACTTGGGATTGTACTAGATTTGGAGTTTGAGCCTAATTTCAATTTAACGCAATGAATTAAATAGTTCCCTGTGTCATTTTGCCATTCTTTTTAATGTCAATATTTTGAAATTGTTGTATGGAGCCATATAGTACTCCATCTGAAAGACCGTACCATTGCTTAGCCTATCCAGCTTTTAATTAGGGAATTCTGGGGAGGTTTTTTGTGTGTGTAGCTAATGTGTGTTTTGGAGCAATTCCAAAATCTCAAACACAAATGAGGTAATGTGATTGCAGATGTTTTCCTTCCATCCAAGTGTTTGAGGGTTTTGTTTATACCCACTCCATTCAATCCAGAGGTAGAATTAGACAGGATCCATTTTTTTTTTATTTTTTTATTTGTAGTTTTTAAAATTGAGGTATAGTTGACACACAATGTTACATTAGTTTCAGGTGTACAACAGTGATTCGATAACTGTAGGTTATGCTCTGCTCACCACGAGTGTAGCTACCGTCTGTCATCAGACACCACTAGACAATATCATTGACTGTATTCCCTATGCTGTTATCCTGTTTTATCCCCGTGACTTACTCTTTTTTTTTCTTTTTTATAATTTAAATCAATTAGCCAACATACAGTACATCATTAATTTGCAGTGTAGTGTTCAATAATTCATCAGTTGCACATAACACCCAGTGCTCCTCACATCACGTGTGCCCTCCTTAATGCCCACCACCCAGTTACCCCATCGCCCCACCCTCCCCGTGACTTATTCATTCCACAACTGGACGCCGGTACCTTCCTCTCCTCTTCACCCATTTTGCCCATCCCCCCACCTCCTCCCCTCTGGCAACCATCAGTCTGTTCTCAGTATTTATGGGTCTGCTTCTGCTTTTGGTTTGTTTTGTTTTTTTAGATTCCACATATAAGTGAAATCATATGGTATTTGTCTTTCTCTGTCTGACTTATTTCACTTAGCATAGTACCCTCTGGGTCTATCCATGTTGTTGCAAATAGTAAGATGTCATTCTTTTTTATAAGAAGTATGCCATTGTGTGTGTTGTGTTGTGTGTGTGTGTGTGTGTGTGTGTGTGTGTATATCACATCTTCTTTGTCCATTCATCTATCAGTGGACACTTGGGTTGCAAAATGAATTTTTTAGAATTAGCTTTGGATAATTTTTCATCCTCCGTTCCTTAGATCTTCTACCAAATGGTGGCCATCAAAGACTGTATATTGGTGCAAAATTTGGAAGGTGATTCAACCTCCCCTTTCCTTACTCCAGTTCCAATGGATCCTTCAAAGCCAGGTACCTGTGACGTCTCCTGATGGGACACCTGCCAGCAGTCGGCCGGGTTACCTCTGTCCCCGCACTGCAGCTGCGGTCTGCCCCCTGCAGACCATGAGCTCAGGAAGAGCAGGGACCGTCTTACTCTTTTCTGTACCCAAGCATCCGGCACAGTACTTGGCACATACTCGGGGTTCTAGAGATATCATTCAAGCTGTAACTCTTCAATTTAGCAGATGTGAGATTGGCCAGATAGAAACGGGATGGAGTGGGTTGGGAGTAAACCTATATATGGGAAAGGAAAATGCAGTGAGAAAAAAATAATTAGTAGCTGGGATGTGGTCGGATTCACATTATTTAAGGAGGGCCCCATATCGGTTGGGTGAGTCATCTTTTTAATTCATTAATTTTTTTTATTTTCATGAGAGGGACATAAAATAGCTATGGTTGTCCGAATGCTGAATTGGGGAAAGCTGCAATAATATTGACGTGAAGTTTCAAAACAAAACACTAAACAAAATACGCTCACAGCTCTGAGCTGGTACAGACTTGTGTAAACAGCCTATAAGAATTTAGAAAATTTGCCATCTTTAAACTATATTCAGTATATTTTTAAGAATGTATCTGTAAAAAACTAGTGTGCCATTTGTGGCAATAAAGAATGCAATGTTTTAGCAGAATGATAGCATAATAATTGCACATTCATGTAGTACTTTTTTCTTTTTAAAATTTTATTTTTAAGTAATCTCTACACACAACATGGGGCTTTAGAGTTGCACACTCCGCCGACTGAGCCAGCCACGCGCCCCGCACGTAGTACTTTATAGTTCACAAGGATTTTTTATAGTTGGGTTTTCACAGAGACTTTTAACTTGTTCACACTCTTGTTCTTTTATCACAAAGGGATGGGGCAACTAAACAAAACCAAGTCTTCTTGGAGAAGTGGCTGATTCTAGGGCCAGAGCAGGGAAAGAACATGAGCCTGGAATGAGAAATGCTTAGAGAACAATAGGGTCACGTCAGAAGGTCTGGGCGCTTGCTTGACGGGGCTCCCACTGAGCAAATCAGCGACTAGTTGAGCATAAAAATAAATAATAATACTAACGGATTATAACCCCTTGAATAAGGTAAGAATCCATGAGTCTATCTAATATAAATGGACAAATACACTGAAGAGGAGGGGAAGCTCCTTTTATTAGAAAGCCACCTAAAAATGCAGAAGGAATGATGGAATTAGGAGAATCACTTGCCAACCATCATCATCACCCATTCAGGCAAGAATCATGACCAGATGTTAAAAAGAGGGTATTGGAGTTTGATGAGTAACGGGTTATTTGTGGAGTCTCAGAGTACATCCCCACAGGATACTTTTTCATTACAAAAAGCAAAATGGTAACTCTCCAGTGAAGAAACCCGGCAGACACCACCTCAACTGAATGGTCAGTTGCACAGTGTGCACAGTGCCAGTGATGGGCCCAACAGAAGACAGGTGCCTCCTGACGGGGCGCACTGGCGGGGACTCAGCGTCTGTCTGTGGCGTTCTGCCAAACACGCATCACCTGCATCTGATCTTGAGGAAGCGGCAGACAAGCCCACACTGGGAAACTCAATAGCTGGAAACTAAAGAAACATGACAATTGAGGGCAGCATGTGGTCTTGGGTTTTCTTTTGCTATAAAGATATTATTGGGACGATGGAGAGTATCTCAATAAGGGCTGTAGATTGGACATAGCATTGTTTCAGTGTTAATTTTCTGACTTTGATAATATACTGTGGCTATGTAAGAGAGTTCCTTGTTTTTAGGAGATACACAATGCAGTGTTTAGAGAGACGGAGGGGAGGGAGGGAGGAAGGATTTCTGAGAAGGGGCGCTGTTGTCACCGGCTTGAGCCGCAGTCCAGTCCGGCCCTCCCTGCCCCATTTTCGTGAGGGAGGTGGCACTCCCCAGCAAGGGGCAGTGGCTCCTGGGAAGGAAGAGGGCCAGCTGCCTTGCCTCACGCCTCCCATGCTGCGCTGCTCTGCCGAGACACCACACCTTTCCTGGGCCTGCCCCTTGCCTCGGATGCCCCTTTCCCTCTTTCTCACCTGCCTGGGGGAAAGGCCCAGCTGGGAGGTTTGGAGGTAGAAGCAGTGGAGGGGGGGCGGTTAGGAGCCCCAGTTTTTCCTTCTGGCACAGCCTCTAACTAGAAGGGCAGTGGCACTGCACAAAGGGGTGAAGCCGTGGGGTCCCCCAGCCTCAGTTTCCTCACCTCTGGTTGCGGGGCCGGGACGTGACGGTCCCTTCACTGGAACGTGGCTCCTTCTGGGACTCCTCAGTGACAGGCTCAGGAAAGAGGCCGTGGGCCCAGCCCCTGCAAGATTCCTTTTTGGAGCTCCTCCCTGGTGTGGGTTTCTCCCGTAGGTCATGTGTTTAGACTTTTAGAATATTGATCTCCACTGATAGCGGAAGTTTTCAGTAAACCCACTGGTGTACCATGTGGTGGCTCCCTCGTCCGTTCTTGTCTGCAGCACGTGAATGGAGCCCCGACATGTCCCAGGCCTGTGCTAGGTACAGGGCATCAGCTAGGGGTCACAGTGCCTGCTCTCGAGCAGCATGGGTGCACATTCTGCCACCATGGGACAGTTTTTGTAAAGCCACTTTTCCTTGTGATTGGAAAGGTAGGTAGAAGAACCGGAAGCCCCAGTTGGTTGTATGAACTTGTTTTAGCCAAAGAACCCCGGTGAGCCTCAGTCTTGCTCTGCTGCTCACCCTGCCCACCTCGCAGAGCCGCAGCCCTTCAGTGGGAGAATTCTGTATGGTGGAAGGCAGCCATGTATATACGAGGTAGCCTCGTTGTTGATCCCTCAGCACACAGAGATGGAAACGCTTTGAAAGATGTGGGGTATTAAACACAAAGACGGAATGACAGTGTTGTCTCTACCCTCTTCTGAGTTTAAAAGAGAGAGCATTATGAAGGCATAATAGTAAAAAACAAAACAAAAAAAACACAAAAACAGGAGAATCAGAGAAAGACCAGTGTCATCCCTTTGCCAGCATATGGCTCAGAATCTGGTCATTGGTGACGGAACTGATTGTAGCCTGTCCTTCTAGTGCACCAGGTGGCTGAGCGGGTGGAAGCTCTGGGGCAGTTTGTCATGAAGACCAGGAGGACCCTCAAAGGCCATGGGAACAAGGTTCTCTGCATGGACTGGTGCAAAGATAAGAGAAGGATCGTGAGCTCATCCCAGGTATGTGGCATCTGCTCTGTGAGGGTGAGCAAGTGTCTGACTTGATAGCTAAAGAAGAAAGAGAGCTTTCCTTTTCAAAAAACCCTGCCTGCTCTTTATGACTCTGCTTATTCTCCACAGGACGTGAGTTAGCATAGTGAAGAATTCTCTTGCATACTGTAGAACGTCACTAATTTGGGTAGATTTGGAGTTATGGTAATAACTGAAACGTGAACTATATTTGAGAAGCCATTCAAAATTATTCCTGAGCATACTTCAGGGCTGTATTTGTGAATGAAACCATTTTTTAGATAGTGGGGCTCCCTCCCCTCAAATTGAGGACATAAGTGGTTGTGGCATCTTTCAGTTTAAGAGTTGCTGGACTCTTTTTACGCCTTAAAGAGCAAATTTAAGACACATATTTTGTAAAGTACAATTTTTCGTTTTATCTCATTAACATAGTTTATTTTACATCTTACATTACTGTTATCTGTGGCTGCATAACAAATTGCCTCCAAATTCAACAACTTAAAACAACAAATATGGGGCGCCTGGGTGGCTCAGTTGGTTAAGCGACTGCCTTCGGCTCAGGTCATGATCCTGGAGTCCCGGGATCGAGTCCCACATCAGGCTTCCTGCTCAGCAGGGAGTCTGCTTCTCCCTCTGACCCTCCCCCCTTCATGCTCTCTCTCTCTCTCTCTCTCTCATTCTCTCTCTCAAATAAATCTTTAAAAAAAAAATAAACAAATATGTATTATTTCATGTGGTCTCTGAGAGCCAGGACTCTGGAGCGGCTTATCTGCGTACTTCTGGCTCAGAGTCTCTCATGGGGTTATAGTCAAGATGTTGATTATAACCCCATGACCGCAGGGTCATGACATAGCTCGAGTAGGGCAGAAACTCGCTTCCAAAATGGCTTATTGTCTGGAGGCCCTAGTTCTTCACCATGTGGACGTTTCCATAGGGCTGCTTATAAGATAGTAGCTGGCCTTCCCCAGAGCAAGAGAGGGAGATGGAAGCCGAAGCCATGCCATCAGAAGTTACATTCCATCTCTCCTGCTGTATTCCAGCCCTGACATTATGAGGGAGAGGCCTCTACAAAAGTGTGACTATCAGGAGGCTGGTTATCACTGCTTGGTACTTTTTATGTCTATTTTGATGTAACATGCATTGAATATAAAATTATAAACTGAA